GACTATAGCAGCTATGGAATTAATGCTTTATGAACGAACATTGACAGCTATGGATTTAGTGCCAGCCTTATAACCCTGGAAGTAAGGGACTTCGGAATAAACGAATGAAGGATAGATAACTCTTAGGTTCAATCCTTAAAGAGTAAAGAAGATAATGGGGATGAGTAATTGGATTGATTGTTTGATTAAACATAATAATTATATTATTGTGGGTTGAAAACCCTATGTACTCATCAGGTTTCCCAACCTGACCCACTCAGTTTATGTGTATCATAGGTGACGAAGTGAAGTGACATTACACTGAGAGATTTAAAGAGATGTAGATCACTAGTGTAAATAATTGTAAGTTCTGTTTATGCTTATGTTTCTGTATTAACGATGACATCCCAAACGTTTTAAGATGAATAAAAATACGTTTCTTCGAAAATGTTTTAAAAACGTATTTATCGTGTTTTTCTGGGAACAAATTCCGCAACCTTTTTATAAAATGAAGTACTCTGATTTTCATAAAGCATAAACAAAATCGGTCTTTTCTGGCCGTGATTTTGGGGATGTCACATTGAGTCGGGGTTGCAAGTCCCGTATCTAAAAAATGGTAAAGCAAAGAATATCAACTAATGTATGTACTCGTTTTACCAAAAAAAATGTTTAATCAAAGAATACTATTAGGGAAAAAAATTATTTGCACATTTATTTTTTTATCTATAACTACATACTCTGTTTTTATTATCCATAATAACAACATAGTTTACTATTTTTACCAAATATAGGAAACATATTTACCTTTATTATCCATAATGGCAACATATTTACATTTTCTATCAATAATAGCAACCTACTTATATCTAGAAACATACTTTTCTCATAACACATCACCAAGTTAATTTAACAAATCTAAACATATTAATTTCAACCACTTTAACAATTTCACAAATCCTAAGCATACCACTATAACAATTTAAACAACCAAAACATATATATGAACAATATAATAACAAAGAAAAATGTACCACTTTAATAACTTTATAAACCCTAAACATACAAATTTAAAATTTTAACTAACCAAAACATATCACCCTAATAGCACCATACTTACATTTTCTAAGCATAATAGCAATATATATATATATATAATATATATATATATATATATATATATATATATATATATATATATATATATATTTATCCTTAGTAGCAATGTGGTTTACTCTTTTTACCTAATACACGTAATATATATATATATATATATATATATATATATATATATATATATATATATATATATAGACACACACACTTGCATTTTCTAACGATAATAGCAATACCTCTTGTTGAGATCAAGCATAGTCCATAGAGAACATGCCACAATTTGGTGTCTCGGTCACCGCGAAACTTGGATCTGATTTTCCTACCCCAAAACCTGACCCTTCTTTCTCCCGCTTGCACACTGCTCCCACAATCCAACATCACCAATTGGATGCAAATTAAGGTCATCACCATATTTATCCTTCATTGCGTTGTGGTATGTTTCCTACAATTTAAAAAATTAACACGAGCGTTATTGTGATAAAGACTAACAAAACTAATATGTATATCAAATACAAAATCTGAATTAGAGAAAGATAACTTACATATACTTTTTGAGCCTTAGTGGATAACTTACATATACTTTTCTCGCATTTAAATTGTCTTTGAATTTTGGGGTGTCCATAACTATGTGAAACATGTCCTCAAAAAAGTTTTTTTCACTATGCATCTGATCGAGGTTGTGACGAATCAGCAATTTACACCAATACAGCAACTCCCAAAATATGTTTCGCTTTACCCAATTATGTGTAACTCCAAAACCAGGAGGTTTTTCGTTTTTTGGATGAAATGGAACACCTTCATAAATGGTGGGAAGGTAACGAACTTGCTCCCAAATTTCATCTCCGCTTGGATTCGGAGTAGGCCTTATAAGTGTCCCATTTTTGTTTGTCCGAAAATTATTCACATCTTTCCGAAAACTATGTTTGATAGGTAGATGTTTTCTATGATAGTCAAACCAACACAGTTTACTTCCATATTTAAGTTGGAACGATCCCGAATAATCCATGCAATATGAGCAAGTTAACTTACCATGAGTGCTCCATCGAGACAACATTGCATATGCAGGAAATTCGCTATTTGTCCATAACAGTATGACCCTCATTTGGAAATTGTTCCATCAGTAGGCATCATAAGTTTCAATACCACAATGAAACAACATTTTCAACTCCTCTATTAAAGGTTGTAGAAAAACATCCAAGTTCTTCCCGGGACTCTTCTTACCAGGAATGACCAAAGCGAGTTTTACGTATGAATCTTTCAAAGCCAACCAAGGAGGTAGGTTTTAAACTATAATAAACACATGCCAACAAGAATGTGGGGTTGAGCTTGAACTATTTGGATTAAAGCCATCGGTACACAACCCGAGACGAACATTGCGTGTCTCTTGTGCAAAATCAGGAAATGTCATATCAAAATGCTTCCACGCCTGACCATCACTAGGATGTGCCATCTTTCCTGGTTCACTTTGATGATCTGAATGTCAGGTCATATGTTTAGCCATCTCCTTTGAGTAGAACAATCTTTGAAGTCTTACTCCAACCGGCATGTAGGTTAGTACCAAATTAGGCACCTTGCGTTGAATATTATTGTATCGGTATTCCCCACACACTCGACAATGTTCTAAACCAGAATCCTCTTTATAAAATAACATGCAATGGTTTTTACATGCATGAATATTTTCTTTTGGCAAAGCTAGTGGCTTCAACAATTTCTTGGTCTCATAAAAGTTTGCAGGTAGTTTTTCACCATCAGGTAACATGTCTTTGAATATTGGAAGTACTTTATTATATGTTGAATCAGGAAAATTAGAATCTGCTTTCCAATTCAAAAACCTAGTGGAGGATTGTAATTTGGTATACGAAACCTATCCCACAAAGGCTCATTGGCGTCTTCTAACATACGATAGAATGCCCTAGCAGTAGGATTTGGATCTTGTGGTTCCGAACTCGTTGATTCTTGTGGATAAGGAACATGGTTTTGGTGCATGCTATCCATAATCATTTGATTATATCCATTATATTCACCACAACCATAATCTACGGAGTTTGAACTTTGACCCACATGTTGAGACGACACTTGAAATGATTCACCATGTGCAAACCATATGTAATAATCATGCATGAATCCATTGCTCGTTATATCGACCTCGACCACGACTAAGGATCTTGTCTTATATCTCCTGTTATTGCATTTGGAACATGGAAATCTAACCTTAAGAACCTCCTTCCCATTTACAATAATTCTTTCAATATCGTTTTGGTTGGAAAATGCAAAATCCAAGAAAGACCTGAGATGACTATGGAATTGCGGATGAAGAAAATTGTCGTCGGTAAATCTCCTTTCGTACATCCAATCTCTATTCGACGACATGATCAATCGATGATAGCTAAAACCTATTACTTATTACATATCAAATTACAAACCTTCACCTAACAAGCAAAAACATATCACTTTAATAACTCAACAAAATAAACGTACCACTTTAACAAATTAAAATTCCATAAACATACCACTAATCATATGTGTTAAACAATTAAAAAGTTAGGGTTTTAACTCAACAAATTAAACCTACCACTTCAATAAACTAAACCCTCACTTTAACAAATTGAAAATTTTAACAATTTCAACAACCAAACATAACTATTTAAACCCTAATTCAGATAATAGGCATTATTCCAACACATTAAAGAAACCTCAACCTAAAACTTTAACAAATTAAAGCCATACTATTTGGAATTTCAAAAAATAAAAAAGTTAGGGGTTTATATATATATATATATATATATATATATATATATATATATATATATATATATATATATCTGGTGTTGCATTCTCCACATAGTCTTAAACCTTTATATATATATATATATATATATATATATATATATATATATATATCTGGTGTTGCATTCTCTCTCTCTCTCTCTCTCTATATATATATATATATATATATATATATATATATATATATATATATATAAATGAAATCAGTAATATAATACATGAAACAAAGGAGCTAGCCTACTTAAGGTTGCTCCTATTGAAAGTTAACAACATGTAAGGTTTTGTAGATTACACACCGGTATAGTATTTATGCACATAATCCTGTTGTTTTTGTTAACATGCAGAGGTTGAAAGTCAAATGTCCCAGGGAGATTGGGTGCCTGAACCCGGAGAGGATTCGTTGACTGCGGTGTTAGGAAGGGAGCACCCTGGCCGGACTAGGGCAGTTGGTCACACTGTTTGCCCGAGAAAAGCCATGCATGTGAATGATAAAAAGAAGAGGCAATGCATGTGAAAGAATCTATGAATGATATGCGTGCCACGATAGATGGCTTACAAAAGAAGTGGCAGAGGTAAAGGCAATGATGTAGGACTCTAACAAGCAAGTTGTGGACAATGTGAGCCCAGGGGTTACAAAACAGGTGGCAGAGGTAAAGGCAATGATGCATGAGTCTAATAAGCAAGTTGTAGACAATGTGAGCCCAGGGTTTCCGAATAGTAGCTGTGACTCAATGCCAGCCTTGGTTGCGATAACGATAATTGTGTATACCTATTTGCCTGAGTTTTAATCTTGATACTGTATTTTAACTTTGAATTAGGTATTTAACATTCGTTTTATTTATATACAAAACCTATTTGCTTGCTTGCAGAACCCTACTCAGTGTAAATTGGTGTTACCATATGGGGCATTGGACCATAATTGCGCTAGTGGGTTGGTCTTTCCCTACGGGAATAGGCAAATACACTCACTCCCCTGCGTGAAAACCACCTTAAAGTTTTGATAGAAAAAATCAACAAAGACTTTCAGGGTCTTCCAATTCCTGTAGTGACTGATGAAGCCAGTAATCTTCAAAGTGCAGTTGGCCAAATAATTCAATGGCCATGAAATGCTATTATTCTAACTGAGGTACATTCTTTTTATCCTTGATTTTTGTAATTACTATATATATATATATATATATATATATATATATATATATATATATATGCATCAAGTTATTACTAATGTGTTTAATCAAATGGTTTGTGGATATAGATACAAGGAAGAAAGATACAAAATTCAACTCCAAGTTCGCTACAAACCACTGCAGGAGGTTGTACAAAAAAGAGCACACTCGCTCTAATGAACAAACCGAAGCCAATTGAATTACTATGTGAGCGATTATAGAACAACCCATTAATTCATGTTGTAGCTGATTATAGCATTTTAGAAGCCAAGAAATTTGAGTTTTGGATGCACGAGAAGAAATTTTTCGTTTGTTGAACAAAATAACACTTGATGTTACCATTCTAACGGTTTGGCAGATGTACGTACACTTAGATTTCTTAATATTTTTTCTCCGCTGCTTAGATATTAGATGATCGTAACATGTTTTTGTCTTATTTTTAGGAATCTGCATTTGATCTCACGTGTGAAGAACAAATGCTCTTTCCTAAACCCGCATAGGATTCTTGGGGCAGATTGCCAAGAAAACCCGGAAGCTGTCATAAATTACATTGTTGATGAGATGCGAATTAATCAAGGAAAACAATTTCTTATCGCTCCATATCTTCAAAGGTAATTTATGTTACTATAATCATTGTTAAATGTTCTCCATATTTATAGTTTATACTAATACCTTAAACATTACAAGTGAGCATTGGGTCCTCTTTGTCATTTCCCCTCATAATCGCACTGGGTACATATTGGATTCAATCAGGAGTCCTATACAAAAGCCTATGGATACCTATTACCTACTCAAGAAACAAGTTGACACGTAAGAAATATCTAAAAATTGGCTTTCTTTTCTATTTTTTTTATTACAACACTAATTTTTCTTTTCTAGGGCTTTTGCAAGGTACAAGAAAGACACATCAAATCCAATTAGCTGGACGCTCGCTGAGGTAATTCATGTCACTATATCCAAAAAAATATATTTTGTATTTCACTTGTTTGATTAGTGTACATTAATTTGTGATTACAATTTAGTGCAACCAACAACCGGGTGATTGGGAGTGCAGGTATTATGTAATGAAATAGATGATAGATTTTGTGATGGTTGAACAACACGGATTCTTGAGTAGAGTAAGTAAATTTTTTTTATTTGTCTATCACAATATACTCTATCTTTCTTATATAACAATTGTAATTTATATTTTTATAGACTACTACCCCTTGGAATGACACAACTCCATTTTCTGAAACCACCTTGTTTTCAATTGTTGTTAAGTGGGCAACATAATTCCTGAACAAATATATGAAAGATGTGGTTGGCTAGAAAGGCATATCTGGTTAGTTTTTAATATTTACAACATCAACCTTTTAGTTTAACTTTAACAAATGTGTGCCAAGCTAAGAACACCTACCCTGCATATGATGTTCTAACCTGGTCCTTCTTTCATGTTTAGTTATGGCAAATCAAGAGGCACAATGATGAAGGCTGGACTCACTATGATTAGAACTGTCATTGCTAGTTTTAGTTTTTGTATTTAGTCAGTTGCAACAATTGTTTAAGTTAGTTAACAATATTTTCATTATTGTTTGAACTTTATTATTGGTATTAGCAACTGGTCATTTTAAATTGAAATATTTTGTTTAATGTTGAATCTACCTAATTAAGTAGTTGAAGGTTTCTTTGTTTTCTCTTTCATGTTTTTATGTTGGCAATTTTTTATCTTCTCTTAACAACATTTGGATGCTCATGGGATTGTGGAATTGGTGGTATGTGTAAAGTCTTAACTGGCCTCATCAGACGTGATTTCATAAAGGAAAAGTGGCTATATTATTGAATTCATTAGATTCGGTTGCATAAGTAAAACCGGGCTCTATTTTCCTAATAAGACCCAGTTGCGAAACCAGGTTGTCACACCCTAAAACCGATGACGGAAACATTCCGGAGTGGAGGACGTCATGTATAGCATCACAACCAATGATTAACAACAATCATAGCAGCACAACCATTACAATGAATACTTTAAGAAAAACGTTTACATTTGTTTGAAATTTAGTTTGAATTACATCCAGTAGTTTTGCATAGTAAAAACCTAAAAACTCTTAATGCTTCAGTTCCTCGAAAATCCAGCAAGTACCTGTCTACTGATTTCCTGAGAATACAAGCAGTTTTAAAAAAAATATCAGTATAAAACTGGTGAGTTCATAAGCAATAATTTGTAATAAAAACTTGTTGATGAACGAGCTGAAATGTTTGTGCAATCTCTAGAAAATCCGATATTTTCTTTAATGAAAAACACGTAGCGTGATCGATTTCGTATACAACCATGAATGTTTGTTTCTGAAAAAGACCATAGTGATATGCGAAAATACTACCTCATGTGACTAGCTAAAGCTAATCATGAAGTATAAGTATTTAATGTGTAAAATTGTAGCATAAATGATTCGGTTTTGAAAACCCTGGCCTGGTCAGTATGCATAGTGTGTTTAGTTCTATTTGGTATAAATAAAACTATTGAAGAAAGTCGGGTTGGTAAACTAAAGGTGATTTATACATAATGTGAGTCGTATAACCATGCTTGATATGACTAGTGACCTTTCCAACGTTCTTCAGGCGTTGAGTGAAATGACATTTGTACATCTCAGGCATGCTCGCCTAACTGTAGCTAGCAGTCCAGATGTGGGATTGTCAGTCCCGAATAGATTTATTCACAAATCTCACGCTCTCCCTCCAGGAGACTCTGGTTATACAGTGGTAGGATTTATCCCTGTACACATAAGGGTACAGTAGTGAAGTAGCGCCTCACAGTATCGTACAATCTAGTTTACATGTAGTGTAGTAGCGTTCTACCGTAGTGAAAATCCGTATGTATAACGTATATAGTGATAATTACAGTTATTAAAATCATGATGAAGCAGTGATGTAAATTGTAAACGTTTTCTGTTCCAATGCATATGTTTAATAGTGAAAGTTTCTATGCTTGATAAGTTTTAGAGAAATCCCAAACTATACCGATTATAGTTTGCATGTATAACGTAGCGAATAGCGTGTCCGGAAAAACTATGCAATTTTAGTGAAAATGTCCCTTATGCGCAGTATAGTACAAAAGGGATTTAAAGTATGAGATTTGCATAAGTTTTATGTATATTCAGGAAAACGCTTGTGTTTAGCTTGTATTCCCCCCTGAAAATATTAAAAATGCGGAAAAAATGTAGGGGTATGAACTCACAGTTGCTGCGTGGGGTTGTTGACTGAAATGAAGTTTCCTGATTTGTTGCACGTGACACTAACGAAATCCTATTATCAAATAAATACGTATATGTATCTAAATTAGCGATTTTGATAATAAAGTGTCAGAAAACACTTGAATTTCGGTTGAGGAAGGTTACTGAGACTTGCTTGAATCGAAGAAATGAGTTTTCAGCCAAAAGTACCACCTAAAAAGGTGTTTACGGCCGAGCTAGCGTTTACGGTTTCTGAAGACTCGGCGAGTTTACGACCGTAAACTCAAGAACAGAGTTTATGGTCTTTGAAGGTTGGACCGTAAACTCAAGAACAGGGTTTACGGTTCTTGAAGGTTGGACCGTAAACTCGGAAAAAATGGTGTTTGGATGCTGATTTCGACGAGATGAGTGTTCCCAAACGTTCCAAAGGGCTCAAAACGGTGTTTTTCGACGTTTCCCGGAGTTTAATTGCGTTTTTGAGCGTTTACGGTTTGGGTTTCTTAGAGAGAGGAGGAGAGAATGTGGCCAGAAACGTCCTAATGAAGCTGGAGGCATCGTATTTATAGGGGTGAGGTGGGGTCCACTCGTCACTGACCGTAAACGTGTTTACGGTCGTAAACCAGTTTACGATCGTAATCCCATTTTAGACCAAAAATGTAGTTTTCTCGAGATTTTTGGGTTTCCGCGCGATTTTTGGTTTCCGACTCGTAAACAATTTAATTAAATATAACTAGATTATTTTATTAAACCAAAATTTTGACGGAAAAGTTAACGAATCTGAAATTTCATTAACGGAAAGCACGTAACAGAAACGGAAAAAGTTTCGGGTTGTCATACGGGTTCATTTTATACTTTTACATAAGACTCGCCTTCATATAACCCTGTTGCAAAACCGGATTCTATTAGCCATATTAACCGGGTTTTATAGCATTTTTTGTAGTAGTGGATGTAATTTGGAAATGAATGCAGGAATGTCTCGATGTAGATGGAGAGAGAGTTAGCGGTGACATAAGGATTTACCGGCGACAAATCGGGGTAATCGGAGGGAATTCTTTCGTGATTAATATTTTTGGGCATTAGCGACGAAAAAATCGCCGCTATTTGTGTCATGGGTAATGATATCTAAGACGGAAGGGATCCTCATTTGTTCGATTGGGTGATATGATCAACGTATGGGGTTACTTCTTGGAGCATGACACGGATTGCTATGTATCACCTTTAGAGGACGCCATCGGTGACATATAAATAATGGTGGTGTCGTTGCTAATGGTGTCGCTGATAATGCACGTTTTTCTTGTAAGGGTTGTCTTTTTTTTTTTTTTTTTTTTTTTTTTTTTTGTCAAGACCGTGGTTGAGGTGGTAGCTCACTAAAAATCAGTGTTGTAAAAATCCCGACTAGATCCCGATTAATCTCTAGGCATTACCAGGCCGATTAGAGGGCGCTTAAGAATTAATCCCTACATAGAAAATGGGTGAATCAGTAGAAAAAGTTGAAATTTTAACATTTGAATAAATTCTATCTCAATAAAAACTATTTGAGAAATGATTAGTGTTATGTTAATCATATTAACCGATTTTATTATGATATAAGTGATACTTACAAACTTTGTAATGATATTAGTCATATTTAATTTTTTAAAATTCAACGAATTAGCAGTTGATGGTCACTGATTAATCCCTGCTTAGCCGATTAATCTCTTAACCCCAATCTACCAACTAGTAAACGTCTAGCTTTTTTACAACCTTACCGGAAAGAAATAGGATGGTTGAAAAGGGGTGTCACCGACAAGTTTGGTCATTTGCAAAAAGACCAAGCCTGATGGATTTTGAAATCATGAGGATCATTGACATCATTTTTTCAAAATAGGACAAAAACTGTAGATAAAAACATACCACAGGGACCAAAACTGTAATTGAACCAAGAATTTATTACCATTTTTTTTGTAAAAGGATCGTAATATTCGCCTTGATAGATGGTTTATCAACCAAATAATCAAATGCGTCAAATATCCCTTAATTAATAAAGCAAAACTGTAACAGCTTTTGAGACTGCCTAATACCAACGATCCATAATCGGCCTTCATCAATGAAGATATATTTTCCTTTTTCGATTTTCATTGTACATGACATTTTTTTGCGTTATTTTTTTTTCTAGACACCGGTTTATTTTGTAATTAACAACGTACTATTTTAGAAACAATTGATAAAAATGATAAATGGGATTTTCCTATATTTCCTTTCCATCTAACCAGCGGGAGAAAAAAGCCAATGCTTCTTTGGGTTTGTACTCAGGTACAGTATGCCCTGCTCCCTGCATCACATCGATCGATATACAAACTATTTCAATAACATATGACAAACCATCAAACATTTAGCTTAAGAGGCATAGATTAATGGATATGACAAACCTTGACTGTGAGAAATGTGAGGTTCTTATCGTATGCTTGTAAGTATCTACAATGAGGAGAAATATATCAACATATTACTCCATCATGGTTAATATTCTTCACATATAATATAATAAGTAAGTGTTTCAGCGTCGTATATTTTTTTTATTAGGCAATGAAAGCATACCCCGCAACTTGCTCATCGACATCCCATTGCCTCCACTCATCATCGATAACTTTGTAGCCTAGTGATCGTGTCCAAGCTTCACTTCCGGTGAAAGGAACACACATATCATGATCCCCACTGCATGATCATTAAAAAGGGTTTATGATATTTTAAAAGAAGAATTGCATGATCTTACATCCTTTATAAGATACATATTGTTTGATGAGGATCACATAAGTGATTCTTCGTGAGTAAGTCCAACAAGAGGAATTAATTATCCTATCATGAGATTACTAATCATGGTTTAGACA